GTGAGCTCAATAATGTGTAATTGCAGTTTCAGCTTCTTGGTAATTATGTAATCTTACTTGAGTATGTATTGTACTTGATAGGAAATACTATGTATATTATCGTAACCACATATCAGGGATCTTAGTTGCATAACGATCCACCTTTGTGCGTAATCCTTGAATATGGGTACCCGTTGCCATTGAGTAACGCTGCACCATATATCATCCATGTGTCACAATATCAGCACTTTTATTTATATATATATATTTCCACACTATGTGTGTAATTGTCATAATTACTATACTCACTTTGTAATCACATTGTAAATAAACCCATAATTATGTCATTTATATTTAAACTAAATCATCTGTTTTGTCAGTTAGGTGTATGTTTTATGTCGCAGTGCGACATATTCAGCCATTTTGCCATTCAACCAGTCATGTCTGTAAAACCCTCGAGAGCATATACAATCACAACACGGACCCGGTAATAATGTGACGATTCTTCCACTCACTCATAAACCCTTTAACGCTACCACTACCTTTCGCGCTTACCACGCAGAGTGAGGGTCGTTACAGTATAGTGGCAGATGAGGCATTTTGTACTATATCGAACTCTTCTTAAATATTACATTGATTCATGAGTTGTATGAATAGGAAATTATACATGACTTTATCACAATTTATTTGATTACAAGTGTCTTCATAAACCCCTCCTGCAAAATATGTTTGTGGTTTTTGTTCTTTATATCATGAAAACAGGTTCAAAAGAAAAGGATAAACAGATGTAGTAAATGGTAAATAGTGATTTGTTTTTAAATTGTTTAGTACAGTGTACATGCTTCATGATTTTCGCCAAAAATTGAAATACATTTTTTGACCATTGTAGATTCATATTGTTTGGGATTGCATGTTTATCTGACCAAACACTTGTAATTTCTATGTATCTATCTCTCTGGCAGTAACTCTTACAAGATATTTCATAAAAGTTGTTTTCATGATATAAGTGTTGTAACCCCACATACTATGTTAGATAGGGCAGGTTTTCCCATTATGTTCTGTACCTATTTACGAGAGTGCTGCTAACTCGATAAAAGGCTGGCGCTGGCTAGAATTGTCTATGGTTCTAGCCAGGATAAAGATACCAGTTCTTCAACTCGACAATGGGAAGAACTGCTCTACCTAAGTGACTAATATGTCAGGATATGACATCTAAAGAGTCGATAAAAGATATATACTCAGGGTGTGGGAATGGCCTCAAGGGCAATGCCTTATGTCAAAAAAAATTAAATAGAAATAAAATAAATATGGACTGGACTTGACTTAGTGATTTGTTTGCTTGTACATGTACTATAGGGAAGATTACATGATAACTGATCAGTTCATATTCAATATAACCCAACCTACCCCAGTGGATTAATAATCTATATTCTATCATGTCTTGTGCGAATTTCCTGTTCCTCTGATGCTCTATTAGGCTCTCTCACGAATCTAAAATCAAGAGATTTGTGTTTGACCATAGCTTGAGAAGATTTGAAAGGGAAAACCAGATTCCATATGGTTTGCCAACTGTCCCAGTATTTAATGTTCAACAGAAGTGGTTCAAATATTTTCCTTGGATCATTTCCATATATCTCTTTCCACTATCCTTAATAACAGACTGTTTTTCTTCACACTAGTTGGACATAAGTTGCAAAATGAGGTGACAAGAAAATTCCCTTGCATTTCACCTATTGAAAATAACTAAACTAAACCCCTTATTGAGAGCAGGGCTGTACTGTAGGGGCTGACTCCGACGAGAATAGATTCATTTTAAAAGATTTTGCAACAGAGCTCCGGTATTCTCCTATAATACTTGGTGATTTTAGATGTACTATTGATATTTGTATAAATAAATATCAATAATATAAAAAATTTAAATCCCCAAAATTTGTTTGTAAATCCCCAAAATTTGAAAGATGCATTGAAATATGAATGAGTATATGTTGGTTCACTTTTCTGAAGTTTAGTTTGTAACTATATATAAATCAAGGCAAAAAATGAGTAAGCAAGAACATGATTCAAATGCTAAAACAAAAAATTCAGACAGAGGTGACCATTAGCAGTGACCCTACTAGAACAACCTGACTTGGAAGTCTCAGTTTATGTACTACTGCCTTCTGTATGCTACCTACACCCACACAGAGATTCTGAACACTCATTTCAACGATAATGTGAAACATTAAAGGGCAATCTCATAACATGAATACAGTCTTGGGAACAACCCCAGCATATCATGTATAGTTGAACAAGATACCTTTTCAGTAGTTTTTGATTCTTTTAAAAGGGAACTTTATTTACACTTTTTGACTATTTGAGATACAAGTAACCCTTTGATGTAGCCTTCAACCAGTCAGAATATTTCAGACCTACTTTTGGCCAATTGTGGTCATTAATGAGATTTTATCATCATCATAAGTTCATAACTGTATATTTGTTTCTTTTATTCAGATTTCAGATACGTAGGTTTCACTAGTATATCTGTGACTATATGCATTGGACTTGGTTATATTTATTGCTTGAAATTTGAGTTTGTAATTACAAAGATCTTGGTCTAACTACTGTTTTTATGTCACTGCCACAAGTATTGTTAATAGTCATCAACTTTTGTGGATCGCGGTTGGTGTTTGTTGGTCCATCTGTAACAAATCATGGTCTCTGTAAAAAAATGACAGATGGCGACATTTTTCATGTTAATGCCTTGTTATGCTTATATTTTACTCTGATAGAGAATTAGATGTAGTATGTGTTAAACCTTATAATATGAACAGATGACATTGGATGTAGTGGCACATTCCTGTCCTACAAGTGTCAAGTAGGGACAAGTTGTTTTCATTTCATGTCAATAAAAACAATAACATTTACATTAAAGCCTCTTTTGTAAGTAAAATAGTAAAATTTATATTAAAGCCTCTTGTGCAGGTAACATAGAAAAAAATCCCCCCCTCAGCACTAATAATATTAGGTGGGAGAGACCATGGTCAAGCCCTTATCGAAAATAGGTCTCTTTATATTAGGTTACTTTTATATACATGTATGTTTTGTTGCTACAGCAAGCCAAAAACCTTAACGTTTAGAGCTTTTAATAATATAGTTATTAATGCAAAATGAAAAATGTCTTTAGTATTCTTTAGTATTCTTACAAAACAATTCCTTGAGACAATGATTCCAATATGTGTCAATTATGTAGACTCCAGTAGCTATTTGAATTGTTTTTTAAACTCCTACCAAATAGAAAATGCCTAACTATGTCGCAAGTCTTCATGACATTTTCGGTTTCCTGTTTCTTACATAAATACGAAAGAAAATATGGCACTTGGGGGGAAATATTTTAATTTTATGTTAAAGTGCATATAGCTGGCTTTTATGACAGCAAAAATCAAAATGACATTTTGCATAAGAACTCAGAGGCAATAAAATAGCTAGTGTACTTTTGGTGAAGGAAGTATGAACTATAGGTCCCTCCTAGCATGTGGAAAATATAATTGAAACTAGAGGAAATAATATGAATTAATGGGCAGGGTGTGTCGAGTTCATATTTCGAATTTATGAGAAATCTGGGGATTTGGCTTTATTATTTTGCATATCTCTGTGGAATATGAATGAGTTAAAAGTTTAAAGATTTAAAAGAATATTCTTGAAGAGAGATGAGTTGATCAAAGTATATAAATCCACTACATGCAATCATTGCCATCAGGCCACATTGTTTTTTCTGGTTGTTTCACAAGTAATAAAACAATAAATAATACACCTTTATGGTGCATAGTCACATAAAAGCAAACTAGTTAGGAAGATATACAGGAATATATAGGATGCCTTGATCAGGGGTTTCATTAGCAGCAGGCAACACGCAATTTTCATCGGTTGTTTTCACAAAATCGCCTGTTGTTTTTAGAGACTTTCAACTTTTCCATGCTTTTACGATTTACATCAATTTTGCCTGTTGTTTTCATTTATTTAGCCTGTTGTGAGAAATTCTAGTGAAGCCCCTGTTGATGCATTTCTGAAACTGTGTTTCGCACTGTACTCTGGTGAACACATAATATACAGAAAAACCTGTTGATAAAATATTGATAATGAAGAATTTGAGAAAAGCTAAAATTTATGGGATGGATTTCTCTAAAGTAATCTGTTGTTGCCAAAGACTCATTAAAATTATCTAGAGTTTTTGACAGTTACCATAGCAACCAACTAACATGATGTAATATATCCTAGCAACAATGTCTTTACTGCTTCACTCCCAGTTGCATATCACCTGTTAGGTATATCATGTTATCTCATTGGGTATCTTTAAATAACAACTAGGAATATTACCTCAGAATGAAGTCTGAATTTTCAAGCATTTTAGGTAGTTACACACTTTCCAGAAAAAAAAGAAAAATAATTTGGGAAAATTTCATGTTAATATAATTTAAACAAAATATTTTGCTTTTGAACTACATATATGTATCTTATAATAACAATAGACACATTAAATTTTTGAATAATATTTCCCATTTCGTTAAATATTTGTAATTACTAAATCATGAAAATACATGAAAAACATCATTTTGCAGATCTTCCTTAATCGAGACACCTACCTTTCTGATAAAATTAAAGCAGTTAGAGAAGGGAACTCTACAAGGGAGAAGCATTCTGATTTATCAGAGTATCTCTTTGTCTAAAGCTCTTTTTTAAGGGATAGTAGAAACTGTATTTGAAGGAGGAGTACTTCCTAATTCCGAAATGTAACCAAGTTCCTCCATTACCCTAGAATACTCTCATCAGTAGTGTGATTTCACATTCATATTTACCCTTTGAATAAGGGATGATTCCTTAATCTTGTCTTAGTAAAACCAAAATACTGTCCCAAGTAACATTTTGAGTGGGAAGGTTTTGATTAATAAGGGTTTAGATCCAGTAGAAAGTGATGATACTTGTCCCATAGAGAACATAAGAAAGGTACTTTAAAATATCTTAATTGTATGATCATGTATTTTCAGGATGACATGAACCTTACAGATGAGAAGAAAGAGCCTCTACGTAAGGGCAACATTGAAATGAAACGTTCAATGATTGCTATGCATCTTAAAAGTAGCCAGGTGAGTACCCTTTGCCAGATAACAAATCTGTCTACACTCTTAAGATTCAACAATTATTTAATCTAAAGTCTGTCTATTCATTCATCATTCATCCTCTGTCCATTCATTCATCATTTATTCATCCTCTGTCCATTCATTCATCATTTGTTCATTCTCTGTCCATTCATTCATTGTTTGTTCATCATCTGTCCATTCATTCATCATTTATTCATCCTCTGTCCATTCATTCATCATTTATTCATCCTCTGTCCATTCATTCATCATTTATTCACCCTCTGTCCATTCATTCATCATTTGTTCATCCTCTGTCCATTCATTCATCATTTGTTCATCCTCTGTCCATTCATTCATCATTTATTCATCCTCTGTCCATTCATTCATCATTTATTCATCCTCTGTCCATTCATTCATCATTTATTCATCCTCTGTCCATTCATTCATCATTTATTCATCCTCTGTCCATTCATTCATCATTTATTCATCTTCTGTCCACTCATTCATCATTTGTTCATCCTCTGTCCATTCATTCATCATTTGTTCATCCTCTATCCATTCATTCATCATTTGTTCATCCTCTATCCATTCATTCATCATTTGTTCATCCTCTGTCCATTCATTCATTGTTTGTTTATCCTCTGTCCATTCATTCATTGTTTGTTCATCTGCTGTCCATTCATTCATCATTTGTTCATCCTCTGTCCATTTATTCATCATTTGTTCATCCTCTGTCCATTCATTCATCATTTGTTCATCCTCTGTCCATTCATTCATCATTTATTCATCCTCTGTCCATTCATTCATCATTTGTTCATCCTCTGTCCATTCATTCATCATTTGTTCATCCTCTGTCAATTCATTCATCATTTATTCATCCTCTGTCCATTCATTCATCATTTATTCATCTTCTGTCCATTCATTCATCATTTATTCATCCTCTGTCCATTCATTCGTCATTTATTCATCCTCTGTCCATTCATTCATCATTTGTTCATCTTCTGTCCATTCATTCATCATTTATTCATCCTCTGTCCATTCATTCATCATTTATTCATCCTCTGTCCATCCATTCATCATTTGTTCCTTTGGTGTCCATTCCTTTATCATTTGTTCATCCTCTGTCCATTCATTCATCATTTGTTCATCCTCTGTCCATTCATTCATAATTTGTTCATCTTCTGTCCATTCATTCATCATTTATTCATCCTCTGTCCATTCATTCACCATTTATTCATCTTCTATCCACTCATTCATCATTCGTTCATCCTCTGTCCATTCATTCATCATTTGTTCATCCTCTATCCATTCATTCATCATTTGTTCATCCTCTATCCATTCATTCATCATTTGTTCATCCTCTGTCCATTCATTCATTGTTTGTTTATCCTCTGTCCATTCATTCATCATTTGTTCATCCTCTGTCCATTCATTCATTGTTTGTTTATCCTCTATCCATTCATTCATCATTTGTTCATCCTCTGTCCATTCATTCATTGTTTGTTTATCCTCTGTCCATTCATTCATTGTTTGTTTATCCTCTGTCCATTCATCATTTGTTCATCTTCTGTCTATTGATTCATCATTTGTTCATCTGCTGTCCATTCATTCATCATTTGTTCATCCTCTGTCCATTTATTCATCATTTGTTCATCCTCTGTCCATTCATTCATCATTTGTTCATCCTCTGTCCATTCATTCATCATTTATTCATCCTCTGTCCATTCATTCATCATTTATTCATCCTCTGTCCATTCATTCATCATTTGTTCATCCTCTGTCCATTCATTCATCATTTATTCATCCTCTGTCCATTCATTCATCATTTATTCATCCTCTGTCCATTCATTCATCATTTGTTCATCCTCTGTCCATTAATTCATCATTTGTTCATCCGCTGTCCATTCATTCATCATTTGTTCATCCTCTGTCCATTCATTCATCATTTGTTCATCCTCTGTCCATTCATTCATTGTTTGTTTATCCTCTGTCTATTCATTCTCTACTTGTTTATCTGTTCAGGCAATAACTTAAAGCTGACAGATTAGGTTCAGATTTTAAAAGCTGATGTCTTATGACAGTTGTGAAATGAAAAATAATTGGTTTTTGAAATGGTCCCTACAACAAGTTTTTAATTTAATTTATTCTGGAATAATTAATCACAGTTGACTTAAATCCTAGTAAACAACATATTTTACCTGACACGCAATAAACAGATTTGTCCTCTATTTTACTAGTTAATCATTAATGCGAAACATGAACATTAGAGTGACTAAACGATTATGTATCAGTAAAGGTCTGTCAGTTTAGATTAAATAAATGAACTTTCCCGTTTTCTGGTATTTGTATCAAATGTCTACTCTGTTTTGCTTTTTAAATCAACTTTTACAAGGCCTTTTATACTGCATGATTTATATAGACAAAAACATTGTTTAAGTCTAGTTAATGAAGATTTTCACATTTTTTAGCATTGATAGAGCAAATATTTTTAGGTACTTTAATGAGCCAAATTTTGAGGAAATAAAAAACAAAACATTTGGTTTTTCATCATAGAACTGTATATTATATAAATGTATTTTATACTTCGAGAAAAGAAATTATGTGATTTAAACCTATGTACATTTTGACATGCTTTAAAATGATTGTAATTTTTTTATTACATCAACATTATGATGCTTGTGAAAATTATAATTTTTTTGAAAAAGAGCAAAGTTTTAAGTTTTATTTTTAGTTGGTTGGCGTCGATTGTTCAACTTCTATTATTTGTTCATTAATGTCCATATTTAGCCATGACCTCCTCAACTTGGCGAAAACAATGCCAATTTTCTCAAATTCTTGCACGAATTCTGCCAATTCATTTTTCTCACTTTGAAATAATTTATCACTTTTTCGAAGCAATGGTCTCAGTGCATCACGTGCGGCTATTTTGCGATATAGACATATAAGAATGTATGCTTGACGTTCTTCCATTGTCAACAAAGAATCATTCCACCATTTTGCGTTCAGTTCATAAACGCGATCAGCATACTCTTGTGTTGCATTGATAATGTTTTCTTTGATCCATGCTGGACGACACCTCTGCGGAGCCTCTGAAATTATATGGTATAATTTTTTGTTCTGATAATTAAAAAAATCTCATTTTTAAATTGAAAACAGTTAACCTTGTTAGCACCTATCACCAAAGCTTTACAATCACAATGAGTCACAAAATATGACATGCCTAGTTAGGGGCTGTCACTGTTACCATGACGTTGTGAGTTTGAGATGCTTGAGCTCCTTGTCTTTATTCATTTAATATATATATTTGAAAATATACTCAAGTTCTGTCCCCACGGTAACTCGTCAACTCGTACCCAAGACAACTCGTACCCAAGACAACTCGTACCCAAGTATATATTTTGTTTTGAATCAAGCATTGGACTGGGAATGTGAATAGATATACATATTATAATTGTAACATACTGTTCAGAATAGTTTAAAGTTTGAAGAAGAATTTTCGGAAGAAATTGATTTAATTTTGTGACAATTTATATTGACTAATATTTTATATTGGTCACATATTCAGGATGTTCGAGTGAAGAGACATGTTTATTCCACATATTCATAATCATTTTTCAAAATATTGTATGTTTATGAATGTTTGGAACAAGTGTCAGATCTAATGTTGTAATTATATTTATTTATATAACATATATATGTTTGACAAAAAATGTTGAGAACAAGCGCTTCAAGCACTTCTTTTATTTAATAAAAAATGCTTTACTGATCCATTGAGAAAAAATGTCGTCTAAATTCAAAAAAATATTGAGGCTTATTTGATTCACATTGTAACATGAAAGCATTACAAACTCAATTTTTTCCCTAATATGCAACCATAATACTGAAAATAATCTTGGGTACGAGTTGTCTTGGGTACGAGTTGTCTTGGGTACGAGTTGTCTTGGATACGAGTTGTCTTGGGTACGAGTTGACTAGGAAGCGTCCCCACTATGGACAAAAAATCATGTTTTGAAATTATTACATGAAATTCAAAATATAAAACATCAATTTCGTTTAAAAAAATTATTTTTTGTCACTTGCATATATTTTCTTATGGGTTTTATTTTTAAAAGAAATGCCAAACCTACCAACACATTGTGGTGGCTCCCGATTATATATCCCAGTCTTCTTACAGAACATCTTGTTACGCCCTCCCATGGAATAACACTTTGTGTTACATTTATATATCACTTTTGTCTTTGGAGGAATAGACATCCCGGGCGTAAACTTTATCAACCCATCCTCCGTCCATCTGGTGGGAAGGGATGCTAGAACGTATCCATTCTCAATCTGGGGTGGTGTGGTACAGTTTTTAGCTGAAATAATTAAACCAATTGATTAGCTAAAATAAAAACATCTTGTTTTACTGAATTTCTTGATAATTTTTTTCTAACATAATGAAATTATTATGAGCCTTATGTCAGACACAAATGATCCACTCAAACAATTTATTTACTTACAAAGTAAGCAGTAATTCTAGAAGTATGAATTTAATAACTTGTGTATGTACTGCATGACTGAAAATTTGCTTGACATTTCGACATGACTTTACTAAACTCCATGAAAAAGTGATATTAGGAAAATAGCATTAATAATTACTACTTTATCTGTATTTAGCTATTTTGATATAAAAATCAATTCCATTATACTTGTAATAAAAAAATGTTTTTATTCCGACTCACCTGAAATGTAGGGGATTAAAATCCAAATGATAATGAAATATCTAAACGTCACCATTTTTTATGAAAAATGTGAAACAACAACAATAGATTCCTACAATTACACATAATCCATTAACACGCATAGTTAATGTTAAAATAAATCTTGTCAGGCGATTGCATCCTTTTTCATTTTTAATGTTTTTTTTAAATACCTTGTGGTGAAATCTGTTTTCATAGTTTTTGTGTATTAAATAATATTGTTTGTTAAGATTTTTTTAGATTCTAATTTGGTTGATATGTGTAAGTAAACTGGCCAGTTATCTTATTTTTGTAGATTTATTTCAACAAATTAAAGTTGGCTCTAATTTTATATTTGGGACAATTAATGGAATCGAACCTTGCAAAAAATTCTCAAATTTCATTTTTGAATAATGAGATGAGTTCTAGATTTAATGAATATGTGAAATAAATGTTCTGATTGATAGGAAGTAAACCCAAACAATAAAAGTTATTCTTTAATTTCAAAATGTAAATATGTAAATATTTTCTCATTGCTTAAGTATTTCATTGGGAATCATTGATTGTCAAGCAAGATTGTAAAAAACATAGTAAATTGATGTACTTCAAATTATTCAACACAATTAAGTTAGGGGGTTGTGTCATGTCTCATTGAAACAATCATTCATTTGTTCATTCATCATTTTTGTGTAACCACTAAAAGTGGAAACTTTTTTGTGGATGGTGTTCACTGGTTGGTGTCAACCTTTGGCATCTCTGTAACAAATGGAAGGTGGTGGCATTTTGCATGTTAATGCCTTTTATACATTGTTGAAATCAGTTGAACAATAAGTCTGTTAAAGCAGTATCTTGTGACCATGAGTTTCTTTGTAGTTTTTTATTAAATCATACCATATGGTATATGTATGTTTTTATATATAATATGTCTCATATACTTTTATACAATCTGAGTAATGTATTTCAAAAGATCTCTCAGGTATGTCTTTGCATGCTAGACTTAACAGGTGCTACGGCCATAAATTTTTATTCAAAATCGAAGCTTATTGCACACAGATTGGAAATTTGAAAATAATATAAACTGAAAAATATGTCATATTTCATGACATATATCTCATTTCATGAAATATATCTTTGAAGGAAGCTCACTATTCATGTTTATGTTTAGCAATGTGTTATATTTTGTTCCAGCAACGTAGTGGCATGATTGACAGTCCCCAAGAGTTCATTTAGTAATGCGTTATATTTTGTTCCAGCAACGTAGTGGCAAGATTGACAGTCCCCAAGAGTTCATTTAGTAATGTGTTATATTTTGTTCCAGCAACGTAGTGGCAAGATTGACAGTCCCCAAGAGTTCATTTAGTAATGTGTTATATTTTGTTCCAGCAACGTAGTGGCAAGATTGACAGTCCCCAAGAGTTCATTTAGTAATGTGTTATATTTTGTTCCAGCAACGTAGTGGCAAGATTGACAGTCCCCAAGAGTTCATTTAGTAATGTATTATATTTTGTTCCAGCAACGTAGTGGCAAGATTGACAGTCCCCAAGAGTTCATTCACAATCTGAATGGTTTTGAACTGAAGGGAGAGAAAAGACTGCGACTGTTAGAGAGTCTGCGTGTATCTCTCACCAGTAACACAGTCAGGTAGGTCCAGTATGTAAAACATGTACATTCACTCAGTCTCAGTGCAGTGGGTGTAACTAGCTAGGCAAGAGAGGCAAGGTAACTTCAAGATACATAATGAGCTAAGTTTAAAGTGAAGTGACTCACTTTAGAATTCTGATAAAATGTTTACCATGATAATGTTTAAGCCTTGATTTTGTTCACTTTAAGGACTGTCATTACACAATATCAAAATGTTTTTACTTCAAACCTTAAAGGCCCCATCTAAAGTTTAAACCACTTTGGCTTATATTGTAGTCTTACCCAATGTTATTAAAGTGTGATATGTGAAACTTTTTTTTTTAATTTCAAAAAGTGGTTTTTGATAGACTTTTTGTTCCAAAATTTGTGAATTTATTTAAAACCAACTTTTAGAGGTCACTCATATCTTCTAATTAGCCACAATTCATACCGATGCATAGCATTCATCCTCCCATGTTTTTTGCCGAAAAAATTAAGAAAATCGGTTCATAAATAAGCGAGAAATGAACTTATCAGTGCATGAAAATGGTTCTGAGAAAAATGCATTTCAAAATTTTAGTTCTCATAGAAACCAATGGTACAATGATATCAAAAACATAATTTATTCTTCCTTTTAACCTGGTTAGACAATCAACATTGGTTTTCTATGAAAGTCTAACATATTTAGAAAAGATTGACATTGAAAAAAAAATTCCAATTTTTTCAAAAAGTTTTTGGTACCTTAGTGACATCACTATTGTTTCAAAATATTTTTGATATGTTAAAACATTGAAGTGGCCCATTAAATATAGCATTTTATTATTGAAATAGTGTGTCCTTTGTTCAACCTTTGCATTGGTGTTAAAAATATAATCTTTTTTGAAATGCATTAAGAAATATTTGATGATTAAGAAATTTCAACTTTTTTTTAAAAATGGCGGGAAATTTGAATATTTGAGAAATGAAATGCTCACAACTTTTTTTCAAAATTTTTTTTTTGTTCAAAAATCTCTAAAATCACTTAACTGATGATTAAGAAATTTCAACTTTTTTTTAAAAATGGCGGGAAATTTGAATATTTGAGAAATGAAATGCTCACAACTTTTTTTCAAAAATTTTTTTTTGTTCAAAAATCTCTAAAATCACTTTTTAAGTCCTGACAAATAGTAAATGAATGATAAAAAAATATTTTCAAACTTTAGACGGGGACTTTAAAGGCTTATGTAACTCATTAAAGGGCCTTATATCCTGAGACACCCTGTACTAATTGTGTTGTAATATTGACAATGCAATGAAGATGATGAAGTATGTTGTTATGTTGTAATATTGACAGTGGGAAATCAATAATGAAAACTGATGTTTTCCTGTATTTAATGAGACACCCTGTACTAATTGTGATTGTAATATTTACAATGGCAAATCAATAATGAAAACTGTTGTTTTCCTTTATTTAATGAAACACCCTGTACTAATTGTGTTTTTAATATTGACAATGGCAAATCAATAATGAATCCTGTTGTTTTCCAGTTGGGTGCAGGAATTTGGTATAGATGGCTTAAATGCAATCCTGAAGAATCTTACATATTGCTCTGATAGGTAAGTTCATATGTTCATGTAGTCTCTCCTATCCTATTGTAAACTGAGGAATATTTGAAAAATATATTGGCAATGGAGTCCTTAGTGGAAGTATGTCCTAGTAGGGTGATGTTAGTTTGAAAGCATAGCAAGCATTTAGGATTTTATAGTTTTCAATACATGTGAAAATATATCGACTTCTGTCTTTTCTTTTTCTTTATATTTAGTTCACTTTTCTTTAGTTTTACATAGTTTTCTTTCAGACGATCCTGCCCCCTCTCTGTCTACCCCATAGTATAAGTTTACTGGGGAAAGAGAGAGATGAGAGGAAGGGAAAATTACTTGATTCAAGTCTATTCTATTATAAAACCTGTGGAAGTGGAACACCCTCGGTACCCCTAAAACGCATTCCATTTGGGAAATGTTCTACTCACATTCATTCATTTCACATTTAGTCAAGATTTATTGAACATAAAGTCAATTGGTCATGCAACTCTAAAAAGTGTTAATTTACTAGAGTGTTTTACTTAGAGAGGTGTTCCACTTTACAGATTTTAATGTCCTTATATTTGCTTTAATATGTGTACTTGTATGTTAGTGCTAGTGCTGTAGTTACCCCCAGCCCCAAACGGAAGGTGTAGGTATATATTACAGTTTGGCTATTTACATATTGACACCAATCATGTAAAATACAGGGTGTCCGGAAATATGTGTCAGTGGTATCATACTTTCTTGACACCCTGTATAATGTTGCCAAATATTTGATCAATTTTCATTCCAGACTAAGGAAAAATTAATTCTCTAGTTCATATTATGTTGATTCAGCTTCTTTGGTTGCCTAGTATTGGTTGCTTAGTAACTTTGTTACCTAGCAACACAGTTTTGTTTGCTTGCAACACAATAATGTTGCCAGGGCAACCAAATTGTGTCTACTAACACATTATGTTTCTTGAGGCAGCTCTGCAGTGTTGTCTCCCATTGACCCATTATTTAACTATGTTGACGTTTGGAAAGTGAAAAGGCACATTTAAAAAGTTTGCCTATGTACACTTGTGGCGTGCTGTTCTAAATGCTGCCAAGTTCTGTTCTGCAAGCTTTACACAGGGGCGGATCTGGAAACCAACAAGGGGGGGCTATATAAGTGGGGAAAACATTTTGGGCCCCTAAAATCAAAAAGTGGGCCCAAATTTTGAAAATTTAAGGCTTGTTTTCTTGATAATTTGGCCTAAAATTTAAAGATAAGATCTTATTATAAAAGGCTCAGTTATGCCCAAAAAGGCCCACTAATTGGGCCCCTAAAAAAAATTTGGGCCAAATTTGTTTTTCTTTCCCCCCCCCCAGATCCGCCAGTGTAACATATGATTCTATATTTCAAAAAGTGATACTGTTTGTTTTTATCTCAGGCATATAGCACCTATTGATTAAAAAAATCTAAAATAAATTATTTTGGTACCTTGAAATGGCAATGTTTTAATGAATTCTCTAAATGATATTGGTTCTTTGAAGTCATATGCTGGTATATGGTGCTAACTTAACTTTTTTCCATTTTTTTAAAGTTACATGCCAAGCTGATGTTTTGTAAAATACATTTTCATAGAAAATAACTTTTATTACAATCCAAAGCTGTTTTTGTCAAAAAATCTCTGATATTCTCCCAATCGAACACTATTTACCATTGGATTTTTCTCAACGCTTCAAGACATATTTGATGAAACAATTAAATTTATCAAGACCAAGCGCTTTTCAAATTGAAGTGTTGTGATTTTAATTTTCTGTTTGGTCACAGTGATTGATATTATTTTGATTCGTTAGGTTCTAAATTAAGGTAAACTGAGTTGGAAAACCAGATAATAAACTCTACTCCAACTACCTTAATTTGAAATTTTTTATTAATTCAATATCTTTATTTTCAGTAAATCTGAGAGGAGAAGTGCCCATGAGTGTGTTAAGTGCCTTAAAGCTTTCATGAACAGCAAGGTATGTTGATAGTTTCACTAAATTGGTTTTCATTAATTAAATGTAAAGGTTCTTAATGTTCATTCAAATATTTTTCTTTAGCTTGTCTGTGTGGCTCCCAATATAATTTTTATTTTTACAAAAAATCATCAGACTATCCCAAAGTTGTTGTTATGTAATTATCTTTAATTTTTATACTATTGTCTATTTGTTATTACTCTTTCCAGTATGGCTTATTACAAATTATCAACCATGAAGAGGCATTGACAATCCTAGCCAGGTCTGTGGACCCTTCTGATCAGGTGACCATGTTAGAAGCAGTCCGCATTCTGGCTGCCATATGCTTGGTACCCCCAGATGGGTGAGTTAATTTATTTGATATATGCTTGGTTCCCCTGGATGGGTGAGTTCATGTGTGGGATATATGCTTGGTACCCCCAGATGGGTGAGTTCATGTGTGGGATATATGCTTGGTACCCCCAGATGGGAGAGTTCATTTACCGGATATATGCTTGGTACCCCTGGATGGGCGAGTTCATTTGTGGGATATATGCTTGGTACCCCTAGATGGGAGAGTTCATTTACCAGATATATGCTTGGTACCCCTGGATGGGCGAGTTCATTTATGGGATTTATGCTTGGTACCCCCAGATGTGAGAGTTCATTTGTGGGATATATGCTTGGTACCCCTGGATCGGTGAGTTCATTTGTGGGATATATGTTTGGTACCCCTGGATGGGTGAGTTCATTTGTGGGATATATGCTTGGTACCCCTGGATGGGTGAGTTCATTCATTTGATATATGCTTGGTACACCTGAATGGGTGAGTTCATTTGTGGGATATATGCTTGGTACCCCCCAGATGGGAGAGTTCATTTACCAGATATATGCTTGGTACCCCTGGATGGGCAAGTTCATTTGTGGGATTTATGCTTGGTGTTCCAAGATTAACGCTGATCAAACTTTTTCCTACATGAAATTATTATATGATCACGCCCGGTGATTGTGAAAATGGGACGGAGGGGGGAGCAAGCAATTTCTGGTAGAAAAAAATATTTTTTCAAGAAAAGGTTTATGATTTAATTGCTAAACAAATAGGCGCACGGTATGGTAAAATATGTCACGTATTCTACGAATTTTTTTTAGCCGATTCTCTTCTTAGGTATAAGATCTATTAAAAAAGGCGCAACGCCACCAACGTGCAAAAGTCAATGTTTTTGCTTTAAATCAAGCATCAACGGTCTACACAACCTGCAATAAATATTTGTAAGTGACATTATCATCATAAAATTAATGACCTTAATGACTTTACAAAATACGTTTCCATACGTTGTATAAAAAATAATCGAAAATAATTGAAATGGGACGGAGGGGGGGAGGGAACGGAGGGGGGAGCAAAATGTCTATACGCCATGATGCGAGATGTTACTTCACTTCTATATCCAAATTTTCCCATTTTCTCCTCAATTACAATGGGTTAGGAATTGATAACAAGTTGTATTCGTAGTTATACCATGGGCACATCACCTATTACGCCAAATACTGTACTGTACTTTGCATATATTTTCTCACTTGGCGTAATAGGGGTTGCACCCATGGCATGAATGTGGCACATTCACTGGGAACCTTCCTAGCAGACTATTAAGTGTAAATTCTCTAGTCAGATCGGCTGATGGAACATGTTTTTTTGGCATTGCCAGTTGGCCGAGCAGTCTACAGCGCCCAAAATCTCAGCTAGACAAAGACGTCATAACCATCAAGTCGTGAGTTGGAGACGCGTGAGCTTCTTGTATTTATTCAATTCTGCATAATTAAAATATATCGCATAATTAATATCAAGTAGATTGTTACTTCGCTGTGAATAACTTACATTTTCGCTGAAGCTTACATGTCCAAAGTGTGATGTGCTGTGTATGATATGCCTACAAATCAGCAAGTAAAAAGGTTAAGACAGGTAAACATTTATAGATAAACAGTCTCCTGGAATATTTTGCCAACCTTAATTTGACCCCTCTAACTAAACCTAACAAGTACAACATGTTATCAATTCCTGACCCTTTGTAATTGAGGAGATAATGGGAAAATCTGGATATAAAGTATCAGGTAACATCTCATATCATATCTTATAGACATATTGCTCCCCCCCTCCATCCCCTCCCCCCTCCGTCCCATTTTAATTATTTTCGATTATTTTTTATACAACGTATGGAAATATATTTTGTAAAGTCATTAAGGTCATTAATTTTATGATGATAATGTCACTTACAAATATTTATTGCAGGTTGTGTAGACCGTTGATGCTTGATTTAAAGCAATAACATTGACTTTTGCACGTTGGTGGCGTTGCGCCTTTTTTAATAGATCTTATACCTAAGAAGAGAATCGGCTAAAAAAAATTCGTAGAATACGTGACATATTTTACCATACCGTGCGCCTATTCGTTTAGCAATTAAATCATAAACCTTTTCTTGAAAAAATAATTTTTGCAGATTTGTTCATTTTTCTACCAGAAATTGCTTGCTCCCCCTCCGTACCATTTTCACGATCACCGGGCGTGATTATATTATAGAATTTTTTGTATATCAGACAATTATTTTTATTCATTTATAATTTGTTATTTTGAGAGTTGGCCATTTTCTTATCTTGAAATAAGAATATCGTTATGCTTATGTATTTGCATATATAATGCACATGTTAAAATGATTCACTCCATTTCAATTTTAATACAGTTCATTTCAAACAGTTACCTCACATTTACTCTCCTTGCAGACACGACAAAGTCCTGGAGGGTATTACAATATGTGGGGAGATACGTAGTCAGGACCGTTTGACCCCCATCATCATGGGACTAGCCATGGAGGACAATTCTTCTATGCGGGTAGGACATCTGCTTGCTCTGTATCTCATAATATGTGAAAACCTGCATTCTAAATTGAACACTTATGGCTTGCACTATTGCTTGAGTGTTCACATTGAGAGATGTTCATATGAATAAGTGAATAAGGCAATGTCCAGAAGCTGGAATCAAAAACAGTCGACAGGTTCACTTTAGAGAGGTGCTCCTGTAAATGTTTTTTGTGTCACTTTCTGCTATACATTCATAGCACATTTCTAAAAAAAACTTATAGACTGCGTATTGTATATAAAATTGTGATTGCAAGAAACTATGTCATTTCACTCAAAAATGCCTCTATAGTAAGATGTATAGAGACTTTTTTCTCCTTATGATATCATACCTATATACCTAGAGATAAAACCCATATCCAATCAATATCTAAGGTATGTTATGACAAGTATATTTCATATGCAGGTGGCGTGTATCCAGCTCATCAATGCAATAATTAGTACGCCAGATGACCTTGACTTCAGAATGCATCTCAGGAATGAGTTCATGCGCACAGGTCTGGTTGACCTTTTGGAAGTAAGCAGACGACAAGCAGACGACAGTAGTTGAAATATCACTCTGTCATTGTTTTTTATGTATTTGCTCTTTATTATTTGAATGATGTTATACATTTTCTTGATTTATAAAGTTGATAACACTTCAGTGTATCTTGTTTTTTGTTGAATGTTAAATATATTTTATTCACAATAAAGATAACTGTTCTTCGAAATTATAATTTTTAATAAATTTTCAGGTTTTAGAACGAGACAAAACAGAAGAGGTGAAAGTACAAATTAATATTTTTGTGGAACATAAGGAGGAAGATTTTGAAGACTTCTCACAGCGATATGAGAATGTTCGCATGGAATTAGAGTATCCTTTTAAAATAGCTACATACAAGATGCAATAGTTGGCATTACAATTGTTATTTTTATTATTTAACTTCTGAGAGCCCTACAAAATAACATAAGTAGAAAAAGGTGCTAAACCACTCATCTCATATTAGATATTTTGGATGATTTATTTTGATCAATATGCATTTTAAATTCCAATCTGGGCGATTCATTTTGATCAATAATCAATTAAATGTGGTGACATATTTTTATGGTCTCCAAGTTTTTATTTTATATTTTAATGGGATTTGGCAGTTAGTGTCTGGCATTCGGCATCTGTAACAAGAGGCAGTTGGTGACATTTTGCATTTTTATGCCTTGTTCTTCACAATGACATTAGATATTCATATCAGACATTTCGTGTGATTCATTTTGAGCATACATTTTAAATTCCTTGACATAAACCCCAGTGATGCCCGTGAATGCTTCGAACTCATCCAAAATACCGTAGCCAACTCAACCGCAGAGCCATTCTTCCTGTCTATCCTACAACATTTACTCACGATTCGTGATGACGCAAATGTCCGACCGCAATATTATAAACTGATAGAGGAGTGTGTCACTCAGATCGTGCTTCATAAAAACGGAATGGATCCAGATTTTAGACATACTAAGAGATTTGAAATAGATGTGGAGCCTTTAGTGGGTATGTATATGGAACAGCTGTACTATTCTGAAACTATTCTGAAAATTGATTAGTCTTGCTTGAATTTGCAGATGTCATTCTTTTATTTTTTAAAAGGAATTTATTCAAAACATGATGAGTTAATATTTGAATCTGCCAGATTTATACAGGAACGAAATATCTTTCAAAGAAAATCAAAATTGAAATGAATTTTTTTCGAAAATTTTTAAGATTTTTTTTTTTTTTTTTTCTTCATTGTATTGATATAAAAAGATATATTATGTATATGGTTAAACTGAGTCAATCTACATAACATCATGGTATACAGTCAGATGTGCATGTATGCTTCTTGTTTCGTTTTCATTTCATTTATACAACAAAAATGCAAGTCACTATAACGATAATTACAGGTAACTTGGGCAACAATGTAAATATTGAAGATAGTGAGATTCAGAGCCTTCCGCAACACATACGGCAAAAATTTGAGGAAGCCGTCACCGTGAAGATGGAATCTGAAGCCCGGGTGTCTAGTCTTGAAGAGCGACTCAAAAAGAAAGATGAGGAGTTGAATGATATAAAAACCAAGGTATGTGTTTTGCATTTTGTGTGTGTTTTTTTTTGAAATATGTATTTAAATACTATATAATGTTATATGTTATTGTTCAAAAATTAACTTGGTGGTGTATGTGCTTGAACAGTAATGAGCTTTCCCAAGTTGGTGTCTCATGGCTTTACTGGTGTCTTATTTCATTTGCCTTGATTGGTGTCTCATGGTTTTACTTTTATTTTATTAGCTTTCCAATATTTATATGCTTTAATTGGTGTCTCATGGTTTTACTGATGTTAAAATTATAGCTTGCTGGTGTCTCATTTATCTTGTTTGTGAACCTTCTTTCCATGATTTTATGAATGCTTTTCAAGATTGCTTCAGATAGGTGTCGCTAATCTAAATATATTCCAAATCATTTATTTATTTATATGCTTGATATAGATAGATTTGCATGCTAGAAATAGAAACGCCTGCTTTTCATGTTAAACTTAGATCATGCTTATCAATGCTATTTGAGTGTGAACAGGACAAATAATGATTTTTGTCAACACCAATTGTCAGAAATGAATAAAAAGTAAATAAAGTAGCATTTTTGACTGACACTCTAAATATAAATTGGCTAGTATAAATTGTACGGATAACCTTTGTTGAAACATTGTATCGTTATAATTAATTTTTTTTATTACATGATTTCATTAATACTTGATTTTCCCAGATAGATTTATAAGGTTAGATTACTTTTAATGTGCATGTTTGTGGCGCCCACATTGAAATCTCTAGTGTGGGAACATAAAACGCACATACATTAATTCAATGTAATGATGTTCCTCTAAGATTTAAAATCAAACAATACTTAAATGTTGCACTAAGATTGAAAATCTCTAAATGTTGCACCAGAAATTAAAAATCCCAAAATGTTTAACTAAAAAGTAAAAATCTCTAAATGTTGCACTAGAAATTGAACATCTAAATATGTTGCGCTTAAAGTTAAAATCATGTGAAATGTTGCATTAAAAATTATATACATGTAGTGTTACACTTAAAATGAGAAAGTTCAAATTGCTCTGTTTGAAAGACCCTCGACTCCATGAACCATATGAATAGAATAGTTTTTTTATTTTGTCTTTTCTGTGAAACATAAAGGAGATTATTTATTGATTTATTTATTCATTCATTTATTTCAGTGTCACCTATCTAAAATAGACAGCCCTACCTGGGCTTATGAGACACATTTTACATTATATATAATCTATATTGGTTAATGAAAACATCGTAAATATAGACAACTACTGCACTTATATTGATGCCCAATCAAAGCTATGGCCCATATGCATGATAACAATTTCAATGCATAAATATGAAAAATGTAAACGACTAATATTTGCAATCAATCCCCTGCCATTGGAAATGGATAGCATCGCATGGTTGGTTGAAAAAATGGCATGTTATTTTGTAACATTGTCAATTATAGTATTATGTCCTCGTTCAGCTTTTCACCCGTTGCTTTTCCTTTAAATTCTGTAAATCAATTGTCTAATCTCAAACCATTATCTCATTTAAGACCTGCAAATTGAACATCACTCCGCCCAATGACATTTTAACACAGCATTGTAATATATTTAGTATGTAGTACACATGAACATGTGTCTACTGTTAACCTTTTTGTCAGAATATATCAAAATTATTTGAATATAGCTTATTCGTATCATCCATTTTCAAACCTGATATGTCAATCATATAGTTTAGTTTGAAACCACGGTGTCTCATAATGACCATTCCCCATCAATCACCAATCCTAGATAGCATATCTCCATGTGTTATATATCATATGAAAGCTTCTATATCTAGAAATTACCAACATTTTATGCTTCTACATGCTGAACTCCTTTATATTACTAGAGGTTGAAGTTGCCTTAAATATTTTTTTATTATATATTTTATAGATAGGAAGGATTATTGGTTTATGGGAATTATTTTAGCTTTGACAAAGTTACGTATCACTTGACCTGCGAATGCTTTCACCTTTAAACTCCAATTATGCATACAGATATAGATTTAATAAAACATTTTTTCATTCTTGTAAAGCTTTTCCTAGAAGTCACTTATCTCTCCGATGTTGCCTAAATATAATGATAAAGTATTTAATACTAGGATTTAAACTGAATAGCCTACACCTTTAACATCTAGGATTTCCTTTATTTATCTCATCTCAATTTAAACTGGTGGCATTTCAATAATTTTTGTTACTTTTAAATAAATATACCATGCATTCCTTGCAAGTTATAACATAATTTAATATAATCGATGTGGAATATATTTGTAATACTACATAACTGTCAATCATAAATGTCTATTTATTATATCTTTTATATGACTACAAAGTATTAATAATAAGGTCAATATACAAGAACTACTACTAGTATACAGGTTTAATTTAATTTAAATCAGACAGTAATTTGTTCAGAAATGAAGTTGACATTTTAAACAATTGTTTTTGTCCTGTTCAGGCATTTGCACAAAATGTTGATGCATTAGACGGGAGCATGAAGGTAGGGGGCACTGTAGTCACTTTTTTCAAAATGGCAGTCCTTAAAAAATTCTTACATGAATCATTTTGCATACAGCATTTAGATTTTATGTCGCCACTTATTGTTATAGTCTCCAACGTTTTTGTGGACAGTGTCTGGCTATTAGTGTTTGGTGTCTGTAACAAATGGCTGGTGGTGACATTTTGCATGTCAATGCCTTGTTTATAATGTACTTATGTTAATGTGCTGTTTGATTTTATGATTTTGTGAGAATTTTTGGCTTTGTAGACCTCATATTGAATGCCCAAATGTAAATGAATTTGCATTGATCATGTACATTTGGTAACCATAGCAACCCTGCTTATTAGCTGTAGTACAGAATAAGTCTAAGATAGTTTTTACTTAGTTCTGCATCAAATGTCAAACATGCATACTTTTAAGTTCTGTTTTGAGTTCAGGGTTCGTTCAGAGTTCGTTCACTTTTGAAGTTACTGGGAGAATAAAAAAATGGGAACAAAAAGTGTTCAGATTAGAGGTGTTCACATTAGCAATCAATGGGAGAAATAATAGTGTTCACATTGTAATTCAGTGGGAAAATCAAAGTGGGAGCAGAAAAATTTTCAGTTTAGAGTGATTTTTATATTGAGAATCAGTGGGAAAATAAAAAGTGGGAACCAAAAACATGTTTGGATTAGAGAGGTTTTCTCTATGTACCCTGACTTCTGAAAATGATGCAAAACAAGACATTTGATGCATTATCATATTACAATGTATATGTTGTAACTTCATGTAAATTAGTTGGTCAATGTTGTACTTCTATTACTTGTTGTACTTCTATTGTTTGCATCTTGAATGCATTCGTACGCTATTATATTATTCTGAAAATATTTGCATGTGAGTAGCTACTGGTGTACATCAATACAAAACAAGATGATTTTCTGATGGGGGGAACATGCGGTCTTTGGGGGGGCCTTTTCTCTTTTTGAAAAAGGTTGTGTTCTGCTCGAGGTTCAAGTGGTCTGCCCCTCTCGGTTTTGTATCAAGGTTATTTGGCTGTGTTATGTGGAGGGGTTCGACAGAGAGGAAATAGGCAACACAATTACGCACTATATTCTCCAAATATGTATTGTTATATACAAAGCTAAATGAATCTAATTTTAAAAGTCGGATATGATTTGATTTTAAAACTACAGTGTCGTACTATTTATTCTGGGTAGCTCTGTCAGTACAAGCCTGGTCTTCCTAGAGGCCTAGTAGTTATTATTTGTTTTGTAATGATGTACTCTTTTAAGTATTTATAGTAAAAATTGCTACATACTCGTATAAGCTTTACCTTTCTTACATAAATGAATTTAAATATACAATTACTGCAAAAATCTTTATTTATAAGCTCAATGTGTTAGCATGCTTTTCAATAACTTGATCAATAATAATCATGAATTAATCATTCTGATTCTAGTCTATTCAACACAATTCTATATTTCTAATGGGGAATATATTGAAAACCCAAATAAAAATAGCACCTATAATCTATAGTTCTCAGATCATGGTAGAATGGAATCTTTCGCATTACACTGTTTATTTATTATTTAAAAGCATGTGCACCATTGCTCTGAATATCACACTAATCATCACTGTCTTCTTGTGATTTCTCTACATGCTTACAATCAGATGGAGTTTGTATTTGGTGAATTTTCTGACGATTTTGATATTGCTTCATTGTCATCTGCTGAATCAATCCCAGCATGCACCTCTCCAAATTCACTTGCCCCTCCACCAAAACCCCCACGGATATTCCATGAATCCTCACTAGAGTTTTCCCGCTCAAATTCGAACTCATTTGATGAGGATAATGAGCCTAAGGCTGCTGCACAGTTAGGGACTACTGAAAATGTTGTTGACGATTCTGCTGAAAAGAAAACTGAAAATAACCTCGATGATAATGATGACAGTGATGAAGTTCAATTCAAGTTTTCTGACGAAGACTTCAAAGTAATTGATGATGATAATGAACTTGATGAACATCTAAATGAAGAACCTGATCCTGACCATCCAAAAGATATCGCAACTGTAGAAGACAAAGACCATGAAAAAGAACTTGACATTTCTGTTAAAGTTGATGATGATATGACTGTAGCTGGTGACTCCAACATAAATAAAGTTGTCCAAAACCAACAGCAAGGTGGTGATAAAGTGATGAAGAGTCCAACAAAGACCTTAAAAGATTTATCGAAGCTCAACAAAGATAAGGCACAAGCATTGAGAAAGAAAATTTCAAAAAGTATATTTGCTCTCAAACAGAGTTCCGCAATGTTTAAACCCAAGACAACCATCTTGAAATGTGATGTCGGCACAAGCATGCAGAATGATGCGTTAGATGAAGAAGAAACAGAAAATGAGAAAGTTGAAGAGACAAGTGAAATTCCTGAAAATCCTCAAAATGAGCTTGATAATGGGAATTTAGATGATAAGAGAATCATTGAAGATGTAAGAATGGTTTAGTAAATCCATTTCACAAATTAGTACTTTGTAAGTGGTACCTATTGTTCCACCCTTTCAGTACCAATTTATTAAAATGGCACCAAATGTTATACTTAGCTAAAGATGGCACCATTTTATAATACCAAAAGGTACCAATTTGTGATTTAGATTGGTAGTTTAGTTAGTAGAACCTCACCGTAGAATCTTTATTTGTAGGTAACTTAGAAATCTTAATTTGTGTAGATTTAGTTTTATTAGTACACACTGTGCAACAGGCATTGTAGTATAGCAGGCATGTCAATACACTCAGCATGTCAGTACAGCAGGCATGTCAGTACTTAAGCATGTCATGTCAACACACATGGCATGTCAGCATACACAACATGTCAGTCCTGCAAGCATGTTGGTTTATGATGTATGTTGGATCATGGATGGTTACTCTTCTTTTTCACACTTGAAATTGTAACAGTATGGCAGTTACTTTTTATGTAAAATGCAAAATAATATAATGCTGCATGTATGAAGCACTTAAGCTGTTACACAACCCAAGTGATGTGGCATATTGTTGTTAATGTTATATCAAATGGAATTGTCACAGTGTATTATGCAGTGTTTGTGTCATTTTCTTTGTTATTGGAGCCACTGTTTGGCGCTTTATGTAGTGTTGAAGGGAACTTGGTGGAAAAGGACCAATTTGGATATGGCAGGTTAAAGTATACAAAATATCACTTATTGTAGTTATTATGGGTTGTGTCATGTACTGGGGCACAGAATGAGACCCAATCATTCAATTCATTTAAATAGTTTTGATTTCATGACTATTGTGATTAGATTGATTAATGTATTGTGTCTATTTTCAATGTATTCAAACATTTTAAGTTTAAACAAAACAAGAATTCTGTTCTATTTTTAGGTGCAGCAAGGCACAGCAGCCGTAATAGGAACAGCCATAGCTGGTGGTCCTCCGCCACCTCCCCCTCCCCCTGGAGGTGGTGGACCCCCTCCCCCACCACCCCCTCCAATGCCAGGTGGTGGTGGGCCCCCTCCCCCTCCACCCCCACCTTTCCCAGGGGGTGGCGGACCTCCTCCCCCACCTCCTCCTCCCCCAGGTATGGGTGGACCACCCCCTCCTCCCCCTCCCCCAGGTATGGGAGGACCGCCCCCTCCTCCCCCTCCCCCAGGTATGGGTGGACCACCACCCCCACCAATGATGGGAATGAGACCTCCTGGTCCTGCCTCCCCATTCACCCCACCCCCTGCACAACTACCCCACGGGATGAAGATGAAGAAGAAATATGCTCCAGAGAATCAGATGAAAAGAGCAAACTGGAACAAGGTCAGACTTACACAAATAAATAAACAAACAATCAGACTGATAAATAAACAAACTAAAAATCTCATCAAAAGTCAAACGAATTTTCACTAGACCCTGTTTTCGAGAATCAATAGAGTTTTATAATGAGTAAGTTAAAACAGTTTAATCTTTTGGTTTTATCTTCCAGATCAATGTGAAGAATCTTTCCGAAGATGCATTCTGGGTAAAAGCAAACGAAGAAAAGCTAGAGGACCCTGACATCTTTAAAGCTTTACAGGAAAACTTTGCTTCTAAAGTCATTTGTAAGTTCATTCACCCATTCACTCGTTAGCGTTTGTAAAAATATCTGGTGCTTGTATCCGTTCATACTGAGAGAGTAATTACTCAGGTATCATAGCATGGGTCATGTGACCAACCTGCTTTAAGAATGGAGTGATGGGCAATTTTAATAGCTTTAAGAGTTGCAGCTTTTTTGATGTGAAAAGGTTTTGCATTAAATATTTGACTTTGTTATTTGTAAGTGTTACAAGAATGGCATTTTGCAAATTTTATTCAAAATTAAGAAATATGTGTGAGTCAACTTTTACTGGAAGTGAGGATCCAATGGACCATCATACCATCTTTTTCCATTATTGTTGATTATTAAACACATTCCACTTTCATTTTATTTTTCCAAGCAGCAGATCGAGCCCAACAAGGTGTTGTATAATTGTATTAACTTCATACAGCTTTGCACCCCTTTAGTTTGACTTAAACTCTTCCAAAATGGAAGTTGGGAGAGTCCATTTGTGGCTAATAGGGTGTGATGAATGCGATGGTCCAGTTGCATATAGATATACTAGTGATGTTTTCATGTTACATCCAGTGTTTGAATGTAGTATTTTATTGTGCATTGTGTTAGTTTGTTTATTATTTTGATCGGTTCAGTATTTTTATTAGTTTTTTTGTTATTTGTTTTAAAAAATGATTTTATTTTGATGATGACAAATACTAATTGCATTTTGTTTTCACGATTAAATTAATATCAGACTTGATGTGTTATTGTTTGAATAATGAAACATAAACTTTCTTAATCACAAAGACAAATGAGAAATTCGCAAAGAAATATTCAGAATTTACATGAAAGGTAACATCAATATATGACATTAATATGTTAAGAAGGATTGATAGAATAATTGTAATGTGTAGAATAGGTGCATGTTGAAACTGCGTGTTCAAAAGGATATGTGCCTTTTTGTATCAGGTTTAAAGGACCTGTGCCATTTTGTACCATTTATAAGGGTCTGTGCCTTTTTGTAGTAGTTTTAAAGGGTTGTGCCTTTTTGAACCAGTTATTATATTTTTGTTGATGAATTACATTAATACCCTCCAAATCCCATCGTACCCTCAGCATGTTTGTGGTATCATAGCTTAGCCAAGAGGCTACACACGTTAAACTGCTAGGCCCCTTGTTCAGCTTATGATAATTGTTATGACAGACAACTAATGGTACAATGGGGATTGGATAGTATATGTTGAAATAACCAAGAGGAAAGGGAATCTCAAAGGGATTGTATTGTGTAGATTAGCTAGAAACATGTAGTCCCGTTGTTGTATTGTTTTGCACGTAAGAAAACACACATGATTGATTAAACGTCCAGCTTATTTTAGATGCTTATGAAAAGATTTAAACTTGACAGAGATATTGCTCACTTATTTTCCTTGGTTGGTTTTGGTTTTGATGGGCTTAATTTACAATTCATGAGTTCAAAAACAATGAATCATGAGTTGGAATATGATAATATTGAATATTTGATTATTTTCATTTCAGCTAAGAAATTGGATCTTGATGGTGCTAAGAAACCGGCCAAGAAAGGAAAAGATCTCAGAGTTTTGGATATGAAAGCCTCTCAAAATCTATGTGAGTCTATTAGTACAAATGCGTCAAAGTTCAACAAGTTTATATATTAACTCATTCGCTACTAAGGACTTGATATGACGTCATAAAGCACATACGTTGACTACTAAGGACGTGATATCAAGTCCAAGCACAAACCCAATGTATTTTTGGGAATCTTGTAACCATGACAACTTATAAAATGGGACTTAAAAAACTATTCATTCTGAAAGAGTATATCATATGCTTTAAAATGATATATAACACTATATATGTATGCCTATGTATATACAATATATATTATTTCAGAGGTACCATATATGGCAATTTTCAAAATATCGTCAGTATTATAGTGTTTTTTGCCCCAGTATTGAATGAGTTAAAGCTGGACCTTGCCCCGAAACGCAATCTTGGGTTGTTTTGGGGGTGAACTTTATCATTTTGAGCTTAATGAAAGATTATAGAATGATGAACAAATGGGGCAAATCTTGTGTAGAAATACTTACGATAAATGTGTCATTTCAAAGATTTTTCATTGAATTGCTTCGATCGGCGCCAGCGATATGATTTTGGAAAGATTTCTAAATGAAGAACGTGACGTCACTTCCGAATCGTAGCATTCAAAATAAGTAGCGTTTAATTACTTCCACCATTCATAATAACACGGTGGTCTCGCGGTAGAATTCTCGCTTAGCACCCGGGAGGCCCGGGTTCGAATCCCGCATTCGCCTTTTTATTTTTTTTAACTAAATGATTGTTCTTTGATATTACGCAGAAAAAAACAATTTTTATTTACATAAACTTTATATTAGAGCTTGAAAATGTAAAAACAATATATGTCAACATATTGCGTTTTGGAGCAATGTGCAGGTTTAAACTATTGTCACATTTTATAGAGTAATGTGATATGGAATTAAGCCTCTCAGAATCTGTTTAGTCTACATGAGGTTTACAAATATACAGATGCATCAAAGTTCACTATATTTGTTTATCACTCTATTTGCGTTTTTATAATTTTTCATAATAATTTATTTTATTTTATAGCAATTATGTTGGGATCGATGAAGATCTCATATCTTGAGATCAAACGTCGTATAATGGAATTAGATGAGGAACACCTTAGTTCTGAAATGCTTGAATCCTTAATCAAAAACATGCCAGAACCAGACCAGATGAAGAAACTTGCAGAGATTCCCAAAGAGGAACATGCTGATCTGGGAGAGGCAGAACAATTTGCAGTAATTGTGAGTTATTCAAATTGCTTCTGATCTACAAGTTTCATGCAGCTTGGCACCCCTTTAGTTTGACTTAAACTCTTCCAAAATGGAAGTTGGGAGAGTCCATTTGTGGCTAATAGGGTGGAATGAGTTTTTATAAAACTAATAAAATGGTCCAGATGCATAATGTGTATGGCCCTAGGGTTTTCTGAAATTTTGAATATTTTTTGCAAATTGAATGCACAATACTTTTGGTTTTATGTTCTTTTTGACTCACATGGTGGTTTTTTGGAATTGTCCTATATTGTAACATGAATTTTTTTTTCCAGATGTCCAGCATCAAGAGATTACCTCCAAGATTGAGGTCTATTACGTTCAAATTACAATTCTCAGAGCTTGTCGCAGACGTAAAACCTGTAAGTATGAATCATTAAAGCATACCACGGCAGTTCAGAGGCATTTTGTTTTCATCAGTGTTTTAAAGTCATCCTTTACAGTCTTATTATGTCAGCTACACAAGTGTGACATATTGTTATAGTCTCAAACTTTTTTGTGTTCAGTGTTTGGTGGTCAGCGTTGAGCATCTGTAACAAATGGCAGGTAGTGACATGCTAATCCTTGTATGTATTAGTATTTGTTGTGAATAAAGATTAGCAATTGGCTAACACACCCAGCTCCAAATTGGAAATGGCCCAATCAATATAATTATAACGGTACAAGTTGATTTCTTTTAACTGATCAGTTTGAACAATACTTATTTGCTCTTGATGTGCAATGGAGAATCAATGGTGAAATAGTCGCATTTGAAATCAAATCAATGCTACTTGCATTGTTTGTTTTTTCAAATTCCCCAAAAAATGCTACAAATAATAATGAACAAATAAATGCTACAATAACTCTGACACCTATACCAAGATATGTATTTTTAAAAGTTATTTATTTCCACATTCTAGGACATAGTTGCTGTAACGGCAGCCTGTGAGGAAGTTAAACAAAGTGGCAAATTCTCAAAACTTCTTGAACTTATACTACTGATGGGCAATTACATGAATGCAGGCTCAAGGAATGCTCAATCTTTAGGATTTGAGATGAACTATCTTACAAAGGTTGGACTCATTTTTTTTAAATTTTAAATATGGATGGTTATTTAGGAATAAAGACTGAGATTCTATGATTTTATGGTGTGGTCATACACACTCGATTATAGACCAGTAAATAAATTGTTTTTGTTATTGTGACGTCACATAATTATCATATTTGAATCTAATATTTATTCTCTCCATGTACATGTACCAACATTGCATGTAGATTTATAATCAAAAAACAAATGTTTGCATATTGCCTTTACTTTTTGAACTCCCCTAGAAATAATATCATCATGTTGGAGTTTCTGTTCTGGTCAGTTATTGCATATTGTAGAGTAACATGTATATTGAACAGTTACATATGAAGTAAGCTTACATGTAATATCTATTGCAGCTGGCTAATACAAAGTCTGCTGACAACAAAACTACCTTGCTGCATTTCCTTGTTCAGACAGTAGAGGAAAAATACCCTGATATTATGTCTTTCACTGAAGAATTAATCCACATAGACCAGGCAGCTAGAGGTAAAGTGCTCAATCTACGGACAGACTAAATAATTGCCAACATAGATATTTAAAAAATGAAAACATATGTAGCAGTTGGCAGTCCTGTTTCAAGTCACTGTTACCCTTGCTTAATATTTTAGATAAGATTTGATTATGAAAAGAAACTAAACTAAACTATCATAAACTTTTCGATGTGAGGGCTATCTTTTGAGTCTTGACAATAAAATCTTTTCTTCAAACATGACAATGTACAGCTAAAGTGTACACACGTATATTTTGTCACTGTACTTGATACTTGGCGTGATACTTTAATATTCAATTTTATTTTGCAGTGTCTGAGGAGACTGTTGTTAAAAGCTTGAAGAGTATGGAGAAGAACATCAAAGATCTTGAGCTGGACCTCAAGAACTATAAACAACAATCAGACAATGACAGATTCCAAGAGGTCATGGGGATATCCTTTTAATTGCAATTAAAATGCTTAATAGTAATCATTTTTTTGTGTTTTTGCAAGTGAGGAAGATTATTATGGAAAACCTTTATTTTCAATTGACTCTATATGCTAATGACAAATTTAGTTTACTAAACTTTGAAAACAATGTTGTTCAGTGTCACCACCTGACACCTGAATTGATGAGGACATATTGTTATTGCATTTTTTGCACACCCGTCTACATAGGGTTATATTTTATGATATTTTTCTTTGACCTATGACTGCTGACCTATACCGGCGATTACTAGAGTGCTGCTAACTCGATAAAAGGCTGGCGCTGGCTAGAATTGTCTATGGTTCTAGCCAGGATAAAGATACCAGTTCTTCAACTCGACAATGGGAAGAACTGCTCTACCTTAGTGACTAATATGTCATGATATGACATCTAAAGAGTCAATAAAAGATATATATATGTGATATTTTTCTTTAACTGTGTATACAATTTTGTAAATGGTGCCAAAGAACAGGTGGAAGTACTTTCAAGTATGCATAAGAAGATGGAGCAGTTGTTCTTACAGATGTCAAAGTTCTACACTTTTGATCCAAAAAAATATGGCATGGAAGAATTCTTCGGGGATTTGAAGGCCTTTAAAGCTAGTTTTATAGTAAGTTTTTCTTTCTTGTTTCATAGATTAGTTTCATAGAATGCCCATATAAGGTGCAGATTATGGTACACTGTAGAAAATCTCCATATATATTTTGGAGGAATTCTTTGGACAACACTAGAATGTTTTTCTTTCTTGTTTCAAAGATTAGTTTCATAGATTGCCCATATAAGGTGCAGATTATGGTACACTGTAGGAAATCTCCATATGTATTTTGGAGGAATTCTTTGGACAACACTAGAATGTTTTTGTTTCTTGTTTCATATATTGGTGCACAATGCCACATGATGTGCAGGTTAAAATTTAATGAGTAGTACACTGAAAGAAATCTCCAATTTTGCACATGTTTGTAAGTGAAGGTGATTACATTTGTTTATTGTGAGAGTGTGTTTACAACAGTAGCAGGAAAGATTTGTGTACATAAAATTTCAAATGAAGTTCAATTGTTAGAACCAATCCCTCCAACAACAGCCACCCAAGCTAACTCAGACTTCCACCCTCCACTAAAACATAACCTGTTCATATTACAGAAAGCTGGTAAAGACAATGCTAAGCTGCGTGAAACCGAAGAGAAAATCCGACGTGCCAAGGAAGCAAAGGAACGATCGGATCGGGAGAAGAAGGAAAAACAGATGAGGAAAAAGGCCATTGTGGATATGACGGCGGGTAAGAAAGATGGCGTTCTATTTCCAGAATTCATTATCAGAGAAAATTGTTTTGAATATATTGCTTCACTCTTTCATTTTGGAGTTGCTTTTTTGCCTATCTTTGCTCATTGTTAGTGTTATTGTGTACATCAATGCTAAAAAACCATCAGCCACATCTTTTTGTATTCCCACCCATAATACCCATAATGCCTCTGTTCCTGCAGACGACGACCAAGAGGGAGTCATGGATAACAAAACTCATCAGCCACATCATTTTGTAATCATTTTGTATTCTCACCTATAATACCCATAATGCCTCTGTTCTTGCAGACGACGACCAAGAAGGGGTCATGGATAACTTGATGGAGGCCTTGAAGACAGGAATGGCGTTCAATGTCAACAGGACGCGCGGAGAACGACGAACCCCAAGAGCTGCGGGAGGTTAGTCCACCAGTAACTTTTAATCAAAAGTTTGCCAATTTATTCTAGCACTGTCTATCAGTTCACTGCTTTGAATATTGTTATTTATATTAATATAATGTTGTATAATTGTGTGATTTTATGGAAATTGAGAAATGTTGTTCTGAATGATTGTTGCAATTTTGTACTGCTTAATTGCTAATAGCTTTCTATTTTTATGTCACCACCAAAAGTGGTGACATATTGTTATGGTCTCCGTTTTTTTGCGACGGTGGTTGGCGTCCGGCGGTTGGTGTCCGGCGGTTGGTGGTTGGAGGTTGGCGTCCGGCGTCTGTAACAATTTCTTACAACTTCCTATAACTTAACAAATACTGTTTAGATTGACTTCAATTTTTTTCTAAATCATCTACATGTTCTCAGAAGTTCAAATCTGACTTTAGATTTTACATTTGACCTTCAATGACCTTCTCAAGGTCAAAAAGGTCTTTTTTCAACTTGCTTCACATTGACTAAATTTTTTTTCAAAATCATCTACATGTTCTCAGAAATTCAAATCTGACTTTAGATTTGACATTGACCTTCAAATCTGACTTTAGATTTGACATTTGACCTTCAATGACCTTCTTAAGGTCAAAAAAGGTCAAAAAGGTCTGTTTTCAACTTGCTTCAAATTGACTAAAAAAAATTTTCAAAATCATCTATGTGTTCTCAGAAATTCAAATCTGACTTTAGATTTGACTTAAGATTTGACATTTGACCTTCAATGACCTTCTCAAAGTCAAAAAAGGTCAAAAAGGTCTTTTTCAACTTGCTTCAAATTGACTAAATTTTTATTTCAAAATCATCTACTTGTTCTCAGAAATTCAAATCTGACTTTAGATTTGACGTTTGACCTTCAAATCTGACTTAAGATTTGACATTTGACCTTCAATGACCTTCTCAAGGTCAAAAAAGGTCAAAAAGGTCTGTTTTCAACTTGCTTCAAATTGACTAAAAAAATTTTCAAAATCATTTATGTGTTTTCAGAAATTCAAATCTGACTTTAGATTTGACTTAAGATTTGACATTTGACCTTCAATGACCTTCTCAAAGTCAAAAAGGTCAAAAAGGTCTTTTGTCAACTTGCTTCCAATTGACTAAATTTTTTTTCAAAATCATCTACATGTTCTCAGAAATTTAAATCTGACTTCAGATTTGACATTTGACCTTCAATGACCTTCTCAATGTCAAAAAAGGTCAAAAAGGTATTTTTTCATCTTGCTTCAAATTGACTAAATCTTTTTTTCAAAATCATCTACATGTTCTCAGAAATTCAAATATGACTTTAGATTTGACATTTGACCTTCAATGACCTTCTCAAGGTCAAAAAAGGTCTTTTTTCAACTTGCTTCAAATTGACTAATTTTTTTTTCAAAATCATCTACATGTTCTCAGAAATTCAAATCTGACTTTAGATTTGACATTTGACCTTTAATGACCTTCTCAAGGTCAAAAAAGGTCAAAAAGGTCTGTTTTCAACTTGCTTCAAATTGAACAATTTTTCTTTCAAAATCATCTACATCTTTTCAGAAGTTCAAATTTGACTTTACAAGTTCTCAGAAGTTCAAATCTGACTTTAGATTTGACCTTTGACCTTCAATGACCTTCTCAAGGTCAGAAAGGTCTTTTTTCAACTTGCTTCAAATTGACTAATTTTTTTTTCGAAATCATCTTCATGTTCTCAGAAGTTCAAATCTGACTTTAGATTTGACATTTGACCTTCAATGACCTTTTCAATGTCAAAAAGGTCTTTTTTCAACTTGCTTCAAATTTACTTAATTTTTTTTTCAAAATCATCTACATGTTCTCAGAAGTTCAAATCTGACTTTACATTTGACATTTGACCTTCAATGACCTTCTCAATGTCAAAAAAAGTCAAAGAGGTATTTTTTCAACTTGCTTTAAATTGACAAAATTGTTTTAGGTGGTGACATTTTGTCATGTTAATGCCTTGTATGATACATACTAGTAACTAATTACCAATATGCTTTCAAATTCTTAATAATAACTCAAGTTTCCAAACTTAATATCGGCACAAAATGATAATTTTGTATGCTTTTATTCTTACTTGATAAATGCTTGATGTGATCTGTGTCATACCATTACCAGAAAATATCAATATAACACGCATGACTATCCTCATATCAATTTTACATCTTTTTTAATCTGAATCTCTGAATCTAGGTAGAACTCTATTTCAAAGACTGTTTCACAGATGACCCCTACCCCTAACCTTAGTGTGGTATAGGTATACTAACCATGCATCTTTCCTAAGTTTGCATGTTAGTGAATAAATAATAAATAAAGATAATGAATATTAAGTGAATTGAATTAAACAAGATTTGTGGACAATGACAATAATGGATGTAATTACACCTGTATTGAGCACCAGGCAAACTTGTCGCATGTACCAGTGCGAAAACATTATTTTGCTAGTACGCATCTAAAATGTATCAGAGCTTCTGATTGGTGATTCTTATTGTCAGTCTGGATGGTTCAAACAAACTGTACAGGCTCATAGCGTAAACTTTAGGTAGTGCATACTAAATGTCTTACAACGTTGTATGCAGTCAATTTAACTGCCACATTGGCTCAAGACGTGCATGTTTTAAATAATCAAAATGTGTCATGAATAGTTTTAACGTGAATTGAGTACATTAATTGGTGGTATATCTTTGAAGGTTCTGTAAAAATTACAAGCTTTGAAGGTTCTCTAAAAACTACCATAAGCAGTATGATTCAATTCTAGCTTTGCATGGCTAATTGCTACTGAGAATTTTTGAGTTATGCTTTATCCATATCAAACATTAATCATAAAATTAAACCATCACATCTCTGTCATTAAATGCTTAATTCACTTAAACGTTACTTATCATCAACAAATAAGAACAACGCTAATTTCATATGTCATTTTCTTGAAAATACACGTACATTTTTACTGAATGTCATTAAGAAATACTTCATCATTGTCATTAATAATGAAGCTTATTGCTGTGTGTTTGATTCATTAATATTTGTTGTTTAATTATCTTTTATTTAATTGTTTATTTTTTGTTTTCATTTTTGCACCACAGATCGACTTGTAAGGAAAATCTTTCATATCAGAAAGCATCTTGGCATTAATTGGCATTGCTGCTTTTTCAGCATTTACTTATTTTTGCATTTTTATTTTTTTGCATTTTTTTATAATTGCATTTTTAATGACCTAACCTTTTTTGTTGCATTTTAAGGATTTAATAGCAAAATATAGTTTTTTACATTTATTAATCTAGTTCATTTGCGTATTAAAATGCTGTTGGATAATACCATAAATTTTTACATTTTGGCTTTGACTGCAAAATACAAGTCATTTGCAAGCATGCCCCTAGTCATTCTCTAATGTTCTGCCTTAATTGCATCAAAATAGCCCTTAGCCCTAGGTTGTGCATTATCAATTAAGCTCAGCTCAATGTAATTCAAAAAAAATGTAATTTATTTAACCTTTGAATTAATGGTTTTATTTTCATAAACAGTTAACCAAAACAACAAAAGGGAAATGCATAGAAATAATAGCATGGACATTTAGGTTATGGAATAAGTTGTTTTAGAAATAAATCATGATGATGATGGGTCTCTCAAAAGAAAAGTGAGAGGAAAAGTTATAGTAGGGAGGTTAAGCTATGTGTTTTTAAGGGAATTTGTACTTGGACGTGGTACATGTATAATGATAATACCCCCAGGGAATATTGTCCAACTCTCAATCGGTTTTCGAGGGAATTTTTTTTCTTTAAACCTATTTATACTCACTCAGACAAGTAAATGATACAAAGGGTGCAAAACCTAGAGAACTATGCATGATTCGACACATGTCCAAGTTCTCTTTAAAACATGTAGCTTAACATTATCAATTCAAGTGTCATGGTAATGGATTCTATAATTTTCGTATTATAGATCATGAAAAATCATATTTTTAATAATGGTTTCTTTTGGAAGGATTATATGTAATCTCAGAGTTAGGTTTCTTTTAATTTGTTCAGTTCTCCTAGTGTAGTTGTTAATGGTACTGGATAACACTCTAGAGCACTCTTAATATTTTCTTTGCACATTTTACTCTGTTTTCCTCTTTTCCTAAATAATTATAATATCACGTAGATACATCAACTGCACTGGTATATTGTATTGCAATGTTTAATAGGTAGTTCTGAAGTTGAGTCATTACTTAAAATAATAATTTTAATTCTCTGAAGCAAGACATGATAGAAAATAATATATTCAGTATTATTTTAAATTTTGTATTTTGCTTGGGGATGCATAGCCTCTGTGATTTTTATACGATCATTTCATGTCTTTTTCCAGCGGAGAGACGGGCCCAATTGGCGAGATCGCGTTCCAGACAAAATGTCTTGAGTCCCGATGCCTCTATGAACGTTAGTTCAGAAATGAACTTTGATGAACTTGGAGCAAGTCCTGCTAATGTAAGACCAAAACGTACCCGTGTTCCAAGAAATAGCGCTTCTTCAAATTATGACCGGGAAAGACCATCGCCAGAAAAAGTCCAAATAAGTAATGGCGGCACTGGTGACACAGAGGCTGATGATTTGCTACGACGATTGCGAGAATTATAAAATTCCGGGATGTCATGAATTTATGCCAAATGTTGAATTTTACGTTATCATATATTCCATCTTTACAAAACCAATGTAAAAGAATGTATAGTACTGTTAACATATTTTATAATGTACAGTAGTCTTGAATGAAACTCTATATATACCGATTTAATTTTCATTGACGTATTGGAAGCCAAATAAAATCATTATGTTTGTATATCATAATATTACTGTCCAAAATAGCATAGTAATAAAAAGGGTTAATATTTTCCATGAAATTTTTAATGAAATATTAATAACTACCGTACTATACATGTATTTCAATAATATACAAAATAAAGCATTATGTTTTTTCATACAGGCTAATATAATATTATACATTTGTTATAAATTCATTTCTTCTTTGCCAAAGATCCTAGCTATTATTGAAACCTTAAGTTAATTATATTCAGTAGATGTATTGTGTACATATCATTGAAGCTTGTGTTTCAATCATAAAGGGAAAAAATATTACACAAAATGATATTGTAAAATTGCAGTACAGAATTAATCCATTCCTTGCAGATACAAAACAACTGGTATATTTTATATGTAAATATCAGAATTTTAGTTTACTTTTGGCATCATAGGAGGGAGAATAAGATAATATTACGATTTTTGTAAAATTTATACTGGTTTGGCAATAATATTGGCGATAATAATATAACCAGGTGTTATCACCAAAAGTGTTTCATAAAAGCAAGGCATATGGCTATCAAAAAAAAAAGTTTTTCAAAATTGTACCTCGGATGACCTTTCAAGCCCATGTATGCCATTTTCATTTTACGACAAGCTTTATCATATTGTATCACATCCTCCTAAGCAGGTGTCAGGAATCCGTACCTCCTTCTTCCCCCCTGCTATAACCAATTTGGAAGTGCCCGATTAAACTGAATCAAGTGATCTTATTTTGCGCAATGACTTATACATGATTTCTGTCGCAATGTTGCCACAGCCAATCAGATTGCGAGTTCCTAATCGGGGAAATGCTAACTGCTTATCGCAGGGGATAAAAAGAAAGAATATATTCTGGATTTTGAAGCCCTGTGATCGGAGGTTGATTGTATCATAGTGTTTAAATACGGAGACACAGTCCGAATACAGATTGATTTAGGCAGATCCAACATACTCATGGGAATGCCACCCATAGGAGAAAAACAAATGCATTATGACATCATAATGTTGAATTTTGAAAAGAATAATTCACAAATATTTACATCAGAAATCTGTGCTTCCACTTAACTGGCTTAGGGATGCTAAACACAATCTATTTGTATGTTCCTTCCCAATGTATGAAATATATGTTGTAAGTGTGTATCTTTGTTTAGTGTTAGGCTAAAGGGTTTCGATTCTCAGTTTATTTTCCATTCTTAACTATTAATATAATTGTGATACAGTGATACGAGAGTTAAGCCAAATGCTTGAGTATTCAAGCTCACAAAATTCAGATTTTCCTGTGACTAGCCTGGATATTAAAACTAAAACAAAACCCATATGAGCTAAAAACCATTGTTTACATATTTCCATTTCTTATGTACTCTATATTGAGTAAAACCTTGTTGGACGAGTATGTTAACTTCAAGTTATTAATGTTCCCATGCCTCAAAACCAAGAATTGAAGTTACTCGGCCTAAGTGTAAGGTGCTAGGGTTTATTGATAGATTTGTTAAACAACTAAATAACTATAGGTTCAAAATATGACCAAAATTTGGACTTGATTTTTTTTATTGATTATTAAAAATTGTGATATCTCAATCAAAAAGCAGTCATTGTAAATATTACTGTATATATTGTACATTTTATATGGCTGTCTATGAATCTATTGTTTGATGATTAAAAATTTATGAAAATAAATTTTTTACGAAATGCAGTTGGTCATATAATAGGTCCTCCTGGATGCTTCATTCAGTTATTGTTCAGATGCCCATTTCTCTGAAATATTTGGAATTGAAATTCAGAATTTTATGGCAAATTAAGAAAATAGGCTGAAAAGGATTTGCATCAGGAGGTGTTTGGATATACATGTTTTACTGTATGACAGGTTGGCCATGTCTTTGACTGTAAAATACCATAATAATGAGAGAAATGAGTATAATTCCATTTTGTAGAAATAATCTGACAAGTCCATCCTGAATGAAATATGAAATATCCAGGAGCACCTTTACAAACAATTCTAAAGTTAAAAATATGATTCCAAAATATTATGTGCCATTTCTTATCATTTCATGTTCACAGAATAATTCATGATTTTAGACATTTTTGATATTTTCTCTTTAAAGTTATGAAGAATAGAGAAGTGTTATATGGGACTTGATAAAAAAGTTAAAAAATTGGTCAGGGTATGTGAGTGCCTTGTACTCCACCAAGGGATATACTGATATACATACACATCTTAGAAGTACATGTACATGTATATGGTATGTTTATTCAAGCATATTATACTCGCAACATACTCAGGATATTGCATTATGCTTTGGGGGCCTTATTGCATATAAAAAAAGACAAAATAGACCACTCTCCTTTTTGAAGAGTTCATATTTATTTATGATATACATATGTACTTCTACATGGTGAGGTGAATTCAACTCATGGCCAGTATGAATCGAGAAAAATGGTAATGTTTCCATCCTAAAAACCAGTTTATTCTGTGCAACTATCTTTCTAAATATAACTGATTTTGAAATCATGAATCATTCTATGGCGTATCATTCATTAATCTGTTATATTTATTCATTTGTGTAAAAAAATATCATAGTTTATGTTCCCATGACATTTTCTATGTGACGTGTGTATATTGCCATGTGTAATCAAACATTTTATATGCGTGCAACTTCCATAATTTTGTGACTACATGTATGTATTTAGTGGGATATTGTTAGTCACGATTGTGTAAATACTAAAATGTGGCATTTTAAAGAATACAGGCTATATATGAAATACAATTTGTAGAAATACATACAATAATATTATTTTGTTGTGTATTGTTTGCTGTGGCTATTGTTCAAGTAAAATGTGAAAAGTTAACTTGACCTCTAACATTATCGTTATATGACCTTTGCTGACCTCATTTCTGTTGACCTTGACCCTTCACTTTGAACGAATGAAATATCTAAATATAATCAGGTTGCATGTCTCTCTCATGACATTTTCTTGCTCCCGATGAATAAATAAATATTCTAAGATATTTTGGGTGATTTTAAAGGTGTAATTTTTATTTATTTCAATGAAGTGAAAAACCTAGATGAACTGTCATCCGACATTACACACATAAGTATGGTCTATAAGTACATATAATTAAACATGTGTAATAAATAATATTTTAGTATTGCACAATATGTTTATGAATTGCAGTGAAACGGCTCTTAAATAAAGCATCAACATGCAAAATGTTACCACCATTTGTTACAGACGCCAACCGCCGATCACCAACTGCTGTCACAAAAATGGAGAACATAACAAAATGTCACCACTTTTTGGTGTTGACATATAATAAACTGAAATTTAATCAGAATTTCTTTCACTCCAGCACATGACTTCTATCGTTATCTTCAAAAATGGCACCTTTTAGCCTCACATGGTGAAAAGCTGATTTCTTCAAAACAAGGCAAACAAAGCCAGGACTTATGGTGTAAATTATTAGTATGAACCACCATTAAATAGATCTATTAGCCAAACATGGCTCACTAGCAGACTGACTGACAAGTGGGCAATTCCATGTGAGCCAAAAAACTAACAGCAGTACAATTTCAAATTCCAAATTACTTCTGGTCAAATAAATGCATCTATGCTTTGCAATTTCCAGTCATGCAACCATTTTTTGGTTTGAAATATAAATAATGGGGTATAAATGATGGGATCACACACACAAATTTTGCTATTACCCCAAAACAGAATTCTCCTCAGTTTGGTCGCACTGTATATGCTAAAGTCGCTACTTTCACGTTGAGCTCCCTAAAAGCAACATTAGGAAACAAACCACTAGAGTTTCTTGTATTGATGGACCTAAGATATAAACTGCCCATGGGCATTTATTTGAGAGCAACATACCTGGAATTAAGCCTTACTTTGCATGGTGTCATTACGAGAAACTCTCGTAATATGTTTTAAAATGTTAAAATTGTTAACTGTAAATACTTGTTTTATAATATATCGTAGTTAGACACTGTGAGATAATAACAAGAATTATGGTGATACAGGCACAGCCATTACTGTTATAAATAAAACTTTGATCACATCAGGCTATTATATATTAATTACTGGGTGTCCCGAAAGTTATAATTATATTATTTCTCATGTTTGGAATAATGTTCACATGCTCGTCAACAATCATGATGGAGATCATTTTGAGTATAATTGTCTTCTAAAATGTCTCTAGAAGTTCTCAGTAAGTAATATTCCCTATAAACTTTTTACTGCTTATTAAAAAATGGATTCTCTTTACCATGTTAAAAGTTCAGCTTTTTTCGATGAAGGAAAAAAGAGATATTCCTGTTTCAATTGGGTATAATTTTTTGGGACACCCAGTAATTTGAAGGTAGATTGTCTGGACTGGTATATAATTGAATTGAAAATCTTCATGTCAAATGCACAACATTTCCTACATCACAGAATTACAAAAAATGTACCCCTCTCTATTAAATTTAATAATATTCAAAGCTCTATATGTTCACTGAAATTATCATCCGATACAGGAACAGGAATTCTTGTATCTTGCACAAGTCTTTTAGAATATGTTGATACAGCATATGCGACATACAGCGACACAAACACTGCCAGTACTAATAAACATGCCAACTTCTCTGGTCCTAAGTCTGTACAGAATTCAAACCACGCATTTTTTATATTGTCAAAAGCACTAGGCGGATCTGCTTGATCTTCAGGCTCTGGATGAGCTGGAAGTTCAAGTCTAGGTGGCGCCACTGGAGCTGCGGGTGGAGGAAAGTAACGTTTATCAGGAATTGGTTCACTTGTGTTTTTTAAATTCTCTAATATTTCAATTATGTGGTCAGATATTCCTCTTCGTTTGGCTAGAGTAACAGGTGTGGCACCCCCAAAGTTCCTGCAAGGAAAATAACACATGTGAATAAAAGGTATTCCCACATGATCAAAACACGAGTTACCATAGCAACCATGACTTATTGAATAGCATCTCAATTTATGTGAAAGTTTCTATCAGAACCATTGAAAAATGGATGAACCATTTCTCAATCAATAACAAGCAATCAATATCAAAATCCCTACTTTTTAACGCAAACGTTTGAATGTAGCAAAGTCATCTTCTGGTTGCAATTACAAAACTATTTGTAACACATTGATGACAAATCATATGGACCAACATGTATTACGAGTATTCTTATTACTTTGTATTGCTGCACTTCATATAGACCTACATTTTCTTCCTTCATATGGACCTACAGTGTACATGAGCAGACTTCATATGGACCAACATGTTCTTAGCAGTTCTTACTTCGCATTTACACTTTGCACTTACTACTACATTTTAATATCTTTCTTCATATTGATCTACACGAGCATACACTGCGTCAAATGTGAAGTTCCAAGCAATTTCTAGACGTGCAAAGATAGTCTAGAAACTCCGCGTATCTAGAGATTCCAAGACGTGTCAAGAGGTGCAAAGACCTCGCGTGTACAGAGCGTGTCAAGAGTTTTGATATCTCTTTGCACTGCCTTATCAAAACAAACAGTATAATTATACCGGCTACCTGTTGTTATGCGCTATAATCACGCTTAATTATACTTTTGGAATATACTGACAATCGTTTTAATTTCATGTTGATAATAATTGATGTTTTTTAAATCATTATCAAAATAAATTTAATCTTAAAGTATGTGTGTGCGCGTAAGTGTAGACGTGTGCAGATGGAGATCGCCTATTTATTTTGCTAAATCTGACATTTTTACAGGATCACGATATGATTTTAATTGGACGCATATTCCTCTTTTAGAACAGTTTGAATAATTAACAAACTCCACTTTCAACCGTGTCAATCAACAGGCCCGTAGCCAGGGGGTCGACGGGTTCGACCCCCCCCCCCCCCCCGGCCAAAAAGTCTTTCAAAATCATGCAGGTTTCACCATTCTGAGCACGTTTTAAGTGATCCCCTTGGCAAATACTGGCTACGGGACTGATCAAATAGTCAAATATGTAGATAGCACATGCAGGCCCGTATACAGGGGGGGAGTAGATTGGTTCTAGCGACCTCCTCCGTCACCAAAAATGCATTATTTTACACCATTCTGAGCACTTTTTAAATTATTTTGGCCATTTTTGAACTAACATTGCCAAAAGTGAACTCCCCCTGGAATTTTTTAAAAAGTAACCCACCTCTTGGCAAATCCTGGCTACGGGTCTGAAATGTAATCAAGTCTATATTTATAACAAATATGAACCTGAATCAATAACTTGTACTGTAACAACTGTCGCTTATTGTCACCTGTATTGATCATGATGGGGCGACGGCAGTGCCTCAAGTCTTTTTGATCTTATTAATCTTATTAATTACTATTTAAATTGAAGAATTTAGGACCCTGGAAGCAAAACAACTCTTTGTTACGCAAAGAATACACTTACTTTTGAAAACAATTTGATTTTCGATCTACATCTAAATCTCAGGTGGATGGTACTCTTTGACAAGATGAGCATTTAAAAGTGTAGGGAAGTTTTGATAAAGATGTTTTATAGCTAATTATTCAGACATATATTTCTTTCATGTTGACGATCATCGAACATAATTGCAATCAACACTCATGATATTTGGACCCGGGTATTTGTAAATTAAATCATAATTACCGCATGAGTTTATATTTCGTATTTTGCTTTAGCTAAATATGCGTTCTCAAATCAAAAAGCATCGCAACATTCTTTTTTATTGTTAACTTGTCATAAATTAGAGGGTCTGTTTAAATGGATATTTCCAATAATCAACGCAAATTATTTCGTCTTGATAAGTACCAGGTCCGAAGCCTACATTTGCTAAGGGAATGACTTTTGAATTATTCCAGGGGTCGGGTCACATTTGATAATTGCTCAAAATTACAAACTGCTCAATGTGGTAAAAGAATTATTGGCCGGGGATGCAGTATTATTTTAAACAATACATCTCTATCTGTCGGCGAAGAGGGGGGGGGGAGGGCTAATTTTATAGCTGAAATTACAAATAGCTTATGATCTATAAACATCTTATAATAATAAACAACTATTGATTTAATATCTGATATGTGGACGGATAGTTCTTGATTTGGTTTAAAAAGAAACTGAATGTAGGGTTGCAAAAATCAGGGAGACAAAGACGTTCGAAGGGTGGGGGTAAAATTTAATTAAAACTAAGCTGAGACAGAATGAGAATAAATATATTTGTTAGTTGCTCATGTAAACGTAAAACAAATTAGAGGGTTCATTAGCACCAGACCATATTTGCAAAATTGGGGGAGTGCATTTTCCCAGGATTTCAAACAATACTATATCTAAAATGTTGCCCCTCATATGCCTAGGTCCCATTTGCTCCAATTCATCTGCCGGGCGCCGGCCGATTGAGTGTTTTGTTCAAACCCTAATACAATTTAAACAAAATACTCAATCAACCGGAGGCCGAACGATGATTCTGAGCAAATGTGACCCAGGCATTACAAGCATACGCTTGAACTACCAGTTTCAGTAGCCCCCTGTCCTTCATATATTAATACTTTTCTTGTACCCTAGTCTAGACCAGATAATCAATTAATTAACTGTTTGATTGGGTTCTTGCTTTTTATGGACAGGATATCCCAAGATTACTTTGATTAGAGCATGGGCTTTCAAGAGAGTTCATGATTGCACTTTATTTGAGGCTATTTTTAATTCCCCATTATTTTAGCTACGTACATGTATCTCTGTTTTCTGGCTCTGATTATCATATTCAATTTACTATAACCAATTTCACCCGGTTTTCGAAATTCAAAACTATCTCATTAGGACACACAAGACAAAATCGTATGAAATAACTTGCAATAAGCTAGTTATTAAGCTTGTTATTATGGTCTTACTGGTGGTTATTATTGAGTAATGGTACAGGTATTCGATATGGTATTGCAGCTTACACTTAAGTAATGGTACACGTATCCTTGGATTTTAGGCCCGAATACCGAGGTTTATTTTTTTAATTATCGTGTATTATTATTTTGTGTTAATATTAGTTAACCATCTAACTATTGGCATGATATGATAACCTTGTTATATTAATATAGCGCATAGGCGTAGCCAGGGGGATGTGATGGGTGCGATCGCACCCCCCCCCCCTCCATAACCGATGAAAATAGAACCATTAGATAGAAGAAAAAAGTCTCAAAATGCTTTTTATTTGAAGCTTCTAGCTCGATCTGAACGAAGTTGCACCAATTTTTGTAAAATTCAAAACAAATCTTCAAAAACATTTTTTATGCCATGATCGCACCCCCCTCCCCCCCCCCCCCCCCCCGACCATGGGCTCATGCCCCGACTGAAAGCTGGCTACGCCACTGTAACGTGTAATCAGTACGCTACATTTTGTATGTTCAATTTGTGTACTAAAAACTGTTATTAATAACAGTTTGTAGATTAAAGATCCTTATTTAAAGACAACGTCGTCTTTATGAATTATTTAAGACATCAGTATTCTCAGAAATTGATTATCCGAAGCGAATACCAAGTTCTGACCAGCAGACGAACAGTTTCAGACGTGGGCGAAGTTTGTTTATTCAACGGTTAGATTTGTTGACTTACTGATCCGTATTGTAATCTCTGGGAAGACGTTATTTTTATTTATTCTATACTTTGTATTTGCGACCAATGTAGTAAAGTTGATACTTTTATGAACAAAAATGTCTTTTTAATGGCCATTTTGTATGCCTTTTATTTCCACACCATGTTTTGATTTTGCCTCGATGTTATTGTGTCATAGTGTTTTTGCTTTAAAAATTCAAGAAATGTCAACTTTTTAAAGATGTCATTTTAAAAGCAAAAAAGGCTCCAAAACGTAATAAAATATGTAGTTTGGATGTTCATTTATGTCTGTGGATTATGTTTTATACCACAAACACTTATAAATACCTGAAATTTGCAATAAAAGTGCCCAAAAATTGTTGTTTCGAAATTTCCCATTTTTCCTGTATCGCGCTAGTCACGTGACCCTTACGCATAGCAGGCAATGCCTAGTATTACAGATATTACAGTACATATTTCAACATGTTCAATATGGCAAACATCAGCGATTCTGACTCCCGGGTTCTGGGAAATGGCTATATATAAATCGGCGAGAGGGTGTTATTTAAGGAGGACAATTTAAGGAGGGGAAATATGTCCAAGTATGCCAGTAAAAGAGCAGATATGGACTTTAGACAAGTACAGTAAAACCTGCGAACAGGGAATGCTCTTGGGACTGGAGGAAAGTTTCCTTGTTCAGAGGTTTTCCCTATAGAGAGGGGCCGCACTTTCAGCAAACTCAAAATTGCCGAATAAGCATATTTGTATATATATTGATTGATTGTACAAATGCCGACTGCATACTTGGTTACGTTCTCCCCATGTTGATTTTAGCTGCTTCTAGCGTCTGATGATGTCTAGTTGATCAAAGATCATTGATATGATTTGTAGAGGTATATTGCTAAGAACTGAAATTCAAGTTTCATCAACCCCATTTTATATCATTTATAATCTGGAAGTTGGATCAGTAAAAGATTTAAAGAGATTTGGCTCAACATGACCATGTACTTACTATCTGTTATCTCCATAAAACAATTGTGTCAATCCCTAGATTATCACAACTGATTTGATGTAATTAGGTTTTTGAAAGGAGGAATTGGTGTCATGATAATAAGTAAAAAACAGATTAGTATTAGTTTTAAAATAAATCAAGGTAATTAACAGTGGGTGGGATGCTACATCATGTCAACAATTGGCTTATCTTAATCTCAGTCATATTAATCCAAGCTTTTTATATTCAGATATTGGCTTAAGACTTTCACATCTCTGAAAAATAATGGAATATACAGTGTCACCAATATTCCATATTCCTTGTTCACAGG